ACCGCCATTTCTTCCTTTTCAAGGCTTCCTTGGTGCCATCAGAGGACTGGCCCCAGGCTTCCTGGCGGCACTGTCCGGACCCCATCTTGCCCTTTCGGGTTCCAGGAAGTCTCCACATTCACCCCTGGTCCCTGCTGGCCACAGGGTCTCAGTCGTGGCTGGTCAGCATCCCCAGGCCTGGGAAGCCACCTGTGACAGATAGGAAGTGAGTGTCTTAGTCCGGGCTCATTCCGTCCTCAGCCCCCAAGCAAAACTGGAGAAATGCCAGGGCTTCAGGGCCTCCGTTTCTCTGAAGAGTGGAAGCCAGTCAAGTTCCCTTCAGTGGGAGGGCGAGCGGGGCGCTGCGGGGCGCTGGTGCCCACACCTCCGCTTTACCGGGAAGGGTGAGTCACTCGAGAGCACGACGGTGAGGAAAAAAGGTCACAGAATGGTGTGACTTCACGTACGTGAAGTTCAGAAACGTGCAAAACTGAACACCAGTGTGCTCGTACGCTCAATAACCAGGGAAAAGAGGAACACCCAGAACCCCGATTGCGGGCGGGAGGGCACGAAGCTTCTGCAAAGGTAAGGAAAGAACCCTGTCCTCCTTGCTGCTCGGCTCTCTGCCTTGCATGTTTTAAATATCCTGTGCTCAGTAGTTAAAAGTTTACACAGCAGAAGACGGAAAGCAGGAAGAGGCGGCGGCCACATGAAGTGAAAATGCCAGAACTGCTGTGCAGACCCTGGAGGGGGCTCACGGGTGGGTGCGCCGGTGTAGACAGCACGTAAGGCCGCAGAATCCACCATCAGGCTGTGTTCCACGGGAGCACACCACCCACTGAAGCCAGAAAGTCTGCCTTGGGGACAAGCCACCAGGATCGCTGAGCAGGCCAGGGGTGACTCCCCAGCTGACAGTAGGACAAACTGTTATGGAACTGGACTCTGTTGGCCATGGCCTTACAGCAGGAGTCCCCAACCCCTGGGCCACGCACTGGCACTGGTCCGTGGCCTGTTAGGAACCGGGCCACACAGCAGGAGGTGAGCGGTGGGCGAGCGAAGCTTCATCTGTGTTTGCAGCCGCTCCACAGTGCTGGGATCACCGCCTCAGCTCCGCCTCAGATCATCAGGCATTAGATTCTCATAAGAGCACTGGTCGCTTACAGCAGGAGTCCCCAACCCCTGGGCCACGAACTGGCGCTGGTCCGTGGCCTGTTAGGAACTGGGCCACACAGCAGGAGGTGAGCGGTGGGCGAGCGAAGCTTCATCTGTGTTTGCAGCCGCTCCACAGTGCTGGGACCACCGCCTCAGCTCCGCCTCAGATCATCAGGCATTAGATTCTCATAAGAGCACTGGTCCCTGGTGCCAAAAAGGTTGGGGACTGCTGGGTTAAAGGACCCCGAAAAGCAGGACCAGCTGGTGGCAAGTGAACATGAGACCAGTGGATGCAATGATCGTGAAGACTGCAGGTCAGGGAGCCTTCTGCTTGCCTGGGAGTCAGAGAGGGTCCTAAATGTGGCATGCCACAGCAGGTGGGCAGCCAGGGCTTGGTCAGCCTGTACCATCAAAGGAAGCCCAGGACTGGCCAGAGGCCTCAGGGAAGCGCCTCAGTGAGAAGTCACTGTGCTTTGTCCAGGTTCCAGATCTGGGCCTCCAGAACTATGGGAGAATAAACGTGTTACTTTTCTAATCTAGTCCACACCTCCTGCCTACCCACTCACAAGGACCTTCCTGTTTGTCACGCAGTTTAGAAGTGGGGTCTCCCAGCTAACAGCACGAGGGCCCCTCTGCAGGGAGGCAGCCCCACCTGCTGGAATGCCCCTGCTACTAGACTCCTGGCCTTCCGCAAAGGCTCCCTTTTCTGTAGATGATGTCAAAATCGGTGTTCTACTCGGGGAAGGCAGCAGAAAACATTCTGCCGTATTGATGACGCCTGCCCCGGTTTTAGTTATCAGTGAGTAATTATCCTTTTCTTGACCTGATATCTCACTGGTTGTTGCAGGGTGGTAATTTTCTAAATCTATTATTTTTGCACAAACCAGGATTTGTGCAAAGAACTTTCCTTCAAAAGCCATTTGGTTACCCTGAAATACTCATGCAGAAAAGTCAGGGAAAATGATTCCTTTACCAATTTTTAGAAGAGTGAATTGGTACTCTACCAGTCTCTAAAGGTTATTTATCAAAGCTGCTTTAGTATCACGAACAAATACATTTTTATATGTTTGATGAATTTTAATCTACCGCAGTTGCTATGTAAAATATGCACTTTTCCATCGTTGGCCAGTAGGAGCCTCTTCAAGTTTGTTCTTGTGGCCCTTTGACATGGCCCATCTTTGAAACTCATGCCAGGAGCATCTTGGTTCTGGTGTGGCTTCGACATTAAATCTGGCTTCACACTGAGTTTAACCTCCCAAAGCTGTGAGGCTCCGGCAAGTTGCGTGAACCTGCTGATCACACTCTTCTAAAATCTGTATAATACTCTCACATCAGCAAGGCCCAGCTGCGAAGCGCCTGAAATGTAGGAGGTAATAGCAAATATTTGCTGCTTCCTTATCTTGGAGAATGTTTGTTGACATCCTGTTGTGTACTGTAGTGTTTTGTTGAGCAGGTGGTAGCTGCGTAAGGGAACTTGCCCACTGGTCAGTTACGTGTGGCATAGTCACCAAGGTGGCACTCCGGGCAGAATTAATGTTTTAAAATGAAGACCAAGAGTGCATGGTATTCAAATCGAGATTTCTTCTCTACCCTGTCGCCAAAGTAACCTGATTCTCAAATGTCACCTGTTGGGAATTAGTGTCCAAATCGGATGCAAAGCTGAGTTGGTTTGGCTCTGCCAGTAAACATTTGGGTTCTGATTCAGGACTTCATATCCATTGCCTTTGTGGTCTTGGCTCTGTGCCATTTGGTCAGAGACATACTTGCCTCTCCAAAGGGGACTGTGGTTTAATTAACTCAGGCTCGTTGGGCTCTCCAGGATCTTGGGCTGAACTACAGATTGTAAATGAGGAGGCATTCTTATTGTAGATGCACAAAGTCTCACTTCGGGACGCCAGTTCTGACCTCCGAATGGTAACACAGTTTCTCTAATCCGAAGTGGCCCAAGGAGACATGAGCTGATACACGTGGCTCCCCACTGGCCCGAGCGGAACTGGTCAAAGCACTGACAGGAGGCCGGGAGGCCGGGGGCCTCAGCTAGTGCGCGTCAGCTCACAACTTGGGGAGAAGCATGTGGTACGGGTGCTTCTCCCAAGTTGTGAGCTGACGCGCACTAGCCGAGGCCTCTGGTTTGGTCTTTTTCTGCTACGGTGCCAGCAGACTTTCAGCCAGGATGCCATGTACCACTTGTCCATCTAGAACATTCTGGGAAAGCATCATGGGAGATGCATGTCTTCCAGAAACAGGTTGACTAGCCAGCTTGTTGGGAGAATGTGACTTTGAGCTAGCTAAGTTTAAATTTTGGTGAAGATTATTGCATGTTGCTTCAGGTCTTCTCTCTTCTCTTCTGACTCTGAGTAAACTGCTGATTTAAACATGAAGCCTCTCATGATGCCAAACCCCAAACCCCAAACCCCTTCCGCGTCAACACCCTAAATAACCACGTGGCATGTTGACTGCGCTGGCTGACCACCTGCTCCGGAGAAGTCTAGGTGCTGTCACAAGCACCGGCTGCCAGAGTTCTCCCGACAATTCAGCACATGGTGAACTTGAAAGGGTGGTGATGGCAGGTTGTTGGACCCTGGGGCAAGACTGCTGTGGATTTGAACTCTGGTTCCACCACTTGATGGCCTTGAGATCTTGGGAAGATGGTTTGAATCTCAACTTGTCCCCTCACCTGCAGAGTGGGGATAATCACGGTGCCTGTCTGTCACTGTGGTCATGTCTGGCACCTAGCCAGTGATTTGTAAAGTAGGCATCTCTCTCACAGTTCACCGCAGATGACTGTTCATTAGTAGTAACAAGAGATCTGAGGCCAGGTGACCTATACCGTCCAGGAGGCCTGTCAGAGTAGCCACTGAGAGGCGTCTGGCAGCCTGTGCAAAGCGAGGCTGCATGGGAGGCAGAGAGACACAGATGCAGACGGGAGAGGCCTCAGGGACCAGTGGACAGTCCCCAGCTCCTACCATTGCAAGCCCCTGTCTCCGCTGTGACCCACATTTCAGGACAGCATCTACCTGGCCTCATGGAAGCCCACACCTTTACCTGGTGGCACATCTTGATGGACACATTTGGAGGGTTTGTACCTGAAGCAGCAGGAACAAACATTGTGTGATTATCCGTGGTGATTGCTGCTGTGTCCTGGGGATAGGGGGGTCCCCGCAAGGACAGCACTTTCTCTGAGGGTGGTCCCCTGGGCCTTTGTGTCAAACATAAGACTCCCCACCCAGAGGCCTACAGGCCGAAATAGAAGGAGGAACTTGGGCACAAGGACAGAGGGTGTTGGGCAGAGTGGGGAGAAGGAGGTACTTCTCAGGGAGGGCAGTGGCTCTCTGGGAATACAGGGCATCAGCAGTGAGGGGAACTGTGGGACAGTGAGGCCCAGTATTCAATTTTGACTGTAGGTGGGCTGGGCTGAGTCATAACTTCTGCACTGTCACCCCCAACTCCAAGGTCTGCATAGGCCAGCCTGGTCTGGGGTGGTAAGGGGCCTGGAGGGAATGGCCATGGGGCAGCTGGCATGAGGGCCAGGCAGTAAGGAAATGTTGCAAGGATGGCAGGAATAGGCAGTGGGAATGACAGCTGACCTTGGGCAGAGGGACCCAGAAGGGTCAAAGGAGGCTCAGGCCACTGCGAAATGGAGCAGGC